CCGGGCCGGTCGAGCCTTTTGGCTTGTTTCATTTTGGGTCGACCACACCTATCCCCAGCGTCGGCCACCCGACCAATGTTTCTGCTCCGATGGCTGTTTGATGGGTAAAATTTTCATATGGTTGGAGTAGCGGTGTTCTCCACGAATGGTTGGCCCATCATGAAAAATTCTGTCCAAACCACCTCCCACACCCCATTCGTTTGCCAGCCCCATGTGTTCCCGAAGCACGCGTCAATTATCCCACGTGCCCAAATCATTGGCATTGTCATGCAGGCAGTATCCTGCCCCATCGGCTCACATTCTTTACTCATCGCATGCTGTTGCAGCTTGAGCCTACGTCGCCCTCCCCTCTCTCGAATCCCTCCCCTCTCCGTTCTCCTCCCTCCGTCGCTTTTTCTCCCCTTCCCCTCCCGTCTCCTGCCCTGTCCCTCGCAAATGACTTCTCCCATCCTTTCGTTCCTTGCCCACCTCTACTCCTCTCCACTGCCAACCTTGTCCCCTTCTTTCCCTGCGGAGCCAGGTGAAATTACGTGCCCTCCAGACTGAACTGCATGAATTGGAGGGGCATTTTCGACAATACATTTCAAGCCGCTCGGGCGCAACCGCAACCGCAATTAGGCGGCACATTTCGACCCGCCCACGGGCGCAACCGACACCGCAGCTAGGCGACACATTTCAAGCCGCCCGCGGGCGCATCCACAACCGCAACTAGGCGACGCGTTTCAACCCTCCCGCGGGCGAAACCGCAACCGCAACTAGGTGACACATTTCAACCCGCCCGCTGGCGCAACCGCAACCGCCACAACGCGATACATTTCAACCCGCCCGCGGGCGCAACCGCAACCGCAACTAGGCGGCACATTTCAACCAGCCTGCGGGCGCGACCGCAACCGCGACTAGGCGATACATTTCAACTTGCCCGCGGACGCAACCGCAACCGCAACTGGGCGACGCATGTCAACCCGCCCGCTGGCGAAACCGCAACCGCAGCTTGGCGACACATTTCAACCCGCCCGCGTGCGCAACCGTAACCGCAACTAGGCGACACATTTCAACCGCAGCCGCCAACGGGCGCAACCGCAACCACAGCTAGGCGATACATTTCAACCCGCCCGCGGGCGCAACCGCAACCGCAAATAGGCGACACATCTCAAACCATCTGCGGGAGCAACCGCAACCGCAACTAAGCGACACATTTCAACCCGCCCGCGGGCGCAAGCGCAACCGCAACTAGGCGACACATTTCGTCCAGCCCGCGGGCGCAACCGCAGCCGCAACTAGGCGGCACACTTCAGCTTGCCCGCGGGCGTAACCGTAACCGCAGTCAGGCGACACACTTCAACCCGCCCGCGGGCACAACCGCAACCGCAGCTTGGCGACACATTTCAACCCTCCCGCGGGCGCAACCGCAACCGCCACAACGCGATACATTTCAACCCGCCCGCGGGCGCAACCGCAACCGCAACTAGGCGGCACATTTCAACCAGCCCGCGGGCGCAACCGCATCTGCGACTAGGCGATACATTTCAACCCGCCTGCGGGCGCAACCGCAACCGCAACTAGGCGATACATTTCAACCCAACGGCAGGCTCAACTGCAACCGAATCCAGGCGATACATTTCAACCCGCCCGCGGGCGCAACGGCAGCCGCAGCTAGACGACACGTTTCAACCCGCCCGCGGGCGCAACCGCAACCGCAACTAAGCGACGCGTTTCAACCAGCCCGCGGGCGCAACCGCAACCGCAACTGGGCGACACAGATCAACCCGCCCGCTGGCGAAACCGCAACCGCAGCTTGGCGACACATTTCAACCCGCCCGCGTGCGCAACCGTAACCGCAACTAGGCGACACATTTCAACCCGCCCGCGGGCGCAACCGCAACCGCAACTAGGCGACAGATTTCAAACCGCCCGCCGGCGCAACCGCAGCCGCAACTAGGCGACACATTTCAACCCGCCCGCGGGCACAACCGCAACACAACCGCAACCGCAGGCGACACATTTCAACCGGCGCGGGCGCAACCACAACGGCAGCTAGGCGACACAGTTCAACCCGCCCTCGGGCGCGACTGCAACCGCAACTAGGAGATACATTTCAACCCGCCCGTGGGCGCAACGGCAGCTGCAACTAAGCGATACATTTCAACCCGCCCGCGGGCGCAACCGCAACCGCAGCCTGACGACACATTTCAAACCGCCCGCGGCCGCGACCGCAACCGCAACTAGTAGACACGTTTCAACCCGCCCGCGGGCGCAAACGCAACCGCAGAGAAGCAGGAGGAGGAGCAGGAGGAGGAGGAGGACGCGTTGAGTGTGTGCCCGAAGTGTGTATGCACAAGTTTTTGCCTGCCGTGCATAGTGTCTCGGCGGATGAAGAGTCAGAAGGGGACGGCAAAATCTGGCGACTCGACCCCTGACTCCCTCTGCTCTGTTTTCCCCCCCTGTCCTTGCTTTCCCTTTCATTTAGATGGGCGGCCAAGACCAGCGTCCTTAGAGCGAGCGAGCGTTGCCCGTGGTTCTCCGCCGGGACATTGCAGCAGGGAATCCCCATTCCACGATGTTGCCTCTGGTTTTTCTTATCCTGTCCCCTTCACTGCTCGTCTGAGCCCCCTGGTTTCTTCTCTACGCCGTCGGCGGGAGCCGAGGATCCTCGAGATGGAGGAAAGGGATGATCCACCCCTGGTCTCGCGCACCCCCCCTGCCCGCACCGCAATCCTCACCGCAACCCCCACCTTTTCAGGTGTGTACGACCAGCGTTACGACCCGCCGCCGCTGACCGTGCCAGAGCCCCCGATGGAGGGGAAGGAGGGGAAGGGGGGGAGGAGAGGACAACCAATGCGCTGCTCCTCCTCCTCCTCCGCCTCCTCCTCCTACTCCATCCTCCTCCTCCTCTTCCTCCTCCTCCTCCTCCTCCTCCTCCTCGTCCTCCTCCTCCTCCTTCCTCCTCCTCCTCCTCCTCATCCTCCTCCTCCTTCCTCCTCCTCCTCCTTCCTCTCCTCCTCCTCCTCCTCCTCCTCTTCCTCCTCCCGACTCCTCTCTCCTCCTCCTCATCCCTCTCCTCCTCTCTCCTCCTTCCTCATCCTCCTTCCTCTCCTCCTGCGCTCTCCTTCCTCCTCCTCCTCTCCTCCTCTCTCCTCTACCTTCTCCTCCTCCTACCTCCTCCTCCTCCTCCTCCCTCCTCCCTCTCCTCCTCTCTCCTCCCTCCTCCTCTCCTCCTCCTCCATCCCTCCCTCTCCTCCCCCCCCCCCCCCCCCCCCCCCACCCCCCCTCCTCTCCCTCTCCTCCCTCCTCCTCCCTCCTCCTCCTCCTCCTCCTCCTCCTCCTCCTCCTCCTCCTCCTCCTCCCAGGGCCGCTGACTAGCGTGGCCCTCAGGGAGACAGCGAAGTCCCTGCTGCACATGCAGGTCGTGTACATGGCTGCCGCACGCCGAGGATGTGGGGTCCCAGTGCGGCGAAGCAGAGAGCCGCTGACCAGCTCAACCGTTGGGCTGGCCAATGGATAACGCAGCTCGATGACAGCGAGCACGGCGGGCGCAAGTGGAGGCGATGGTGCGTGCCCTACGTGATGGGGATTACGCGCTGCAGCTTCCAGGAGGCCGAGGAGTTCTGCTTGGAGGCATGGCGCCGAGGGAGCCCGACGAGACAGGCGACCCTGCTGCACCTGGCATCCTTGGCAGAACGGGCAGACCTCTCGTCTTGGAGGAGCGCAAGATCGGCAATTTGGAACGAAGAGCGCCGAGTGTTGGAGGCATTCCGAGCTTACCTCCAAGACCGTGCACCGCCAGAGGGGCGCCCCGAGTATTACAATGAGTACTACGACGACGATGACGGTATCGAAGCGCGAACGGCATGAACCCAAGCGTCTACAGCACTTCCAACTTCATCGTGGTCAGCTTCTGCGGCGACCGCGACATTCTCATCCCCACCGGCGCCAGATTCAGTTTCGAAAAAAACATACATGTCAGGACCTGCTCCGCGGATCACCACGGAGAGCAGTCAGGAAGAGTTACACGTAAGTCCGCATGAGAGCAGCCGTAGCAGGCAGAAGGACTCACACGTTACTCCGCATGAGAGCAGCAGAGAGGCCCACCATCGGACGCAGGAGGCCGCGGACGCGCGGGTGGCCGATGCCCTCCTTCCCGATGAGCGCGTTTCCAGGGCCGCTGACGAGTGGGGCCCACAGGGAGACAGCGAAGGCCTAGTTGCAGAAGAGCAGGATCCTGTCGACGATCTAGAAGGGTATCTCGACAGCGAGCAAGCAGGTGATGCGCAATAACTTCCAGAAGATGGCGGTGAGCAGGTGGCCGTGCCGCAGATGGAGTGTGTGACGGAGCGAAAGCAGGTGGCCCCCCCGAAGCAGCGTCAGCTTGAGCCTACAGCTGAGTCGCAGCGAGTGCAGGTGGCCTCCTCGACGAGGCTGCACGCTCCAGAGCTAGGCAGCAGAGAGGCCCACCATCGGATGCAGGAGGCCGCGGACGCGCGGGCGGCCGATGCCCTCCTTCCAGATGAGCGCGCCTCCAGGGCCGCTGACGAGCGGGCCCCACGGGGAGATTGCGAAGGTCCAGCTGCAGATGAGTGCGATCCCTTCGACGGTCTAGACGAGTATCTCGACAGCGTGCAAGCAGAGGAGGTGCAACAACCTCCAGAAGATGGCAATGAGCAGATGGCGGCGCCACAGATGGATGGCGTGACGGAGCGAGTGCAGGTGATCTCCCCGAAGCAGCATCAGCCTGAGCCCGCAGCAGAGTCGAAGCGAGTGCAGGTGGCCTCCTCGACGAGCTTGGATGTTCCAGAGCTATTGGCGGACGCCCCCGAGGTCGGCGGCAGTGCGTATCAGCGCTATATGGCAATATCACGGAGTGGGGCACCAAGATCCACAAGTCCGCGGCGAGCCAGAAGGAGTTCAACCTGTGCATGTTCGTCGAGACACACCTCGATGAGGAGAGGATCGCAGAGGCGCAGGCGTCGGCGAGGAAGGACGGGTGGCAAATAATCGCCACGCCTGCCAGGGCGAGTGGACGGCCTGAATCAGGCACGTCGGCAGGAGAGGCCATACATGCTCGGACCCACGTTGCGACCTCAGCCTTTGACTACCTCGCCAAGTACCGATCGAGCAGCGCGACGAGCCCCTTCCATGGTTTTTCGGCCCCCGCGCGGCACCTGCAGGGCGGCGGCGTGGCGATGAGTTGCACCAACCTCGCCCCCAAGTTCGGACTCGCGAAAGGGGCCCAATTCTAAGACGCTGAGGGCACTTGTCTCCTGCGTGAGGAGCTTGGTGGACCCGTATGTTATTATGGGTGACTCGAACCACTCTCCTGACCAGATTGCGAAGGCCCGCGTCCAAGAGTTCCCGAGAGGGGCGCTGCCCACCCCACCGTGTACCATCACATGCGACAAAGGCCAGGGCTCCATGATCGACTTTGCGATAGCCGGCGAGAGCCTGCAGGACAGGGCGACGCCCACCCCTGTCCTGGCAGCGCCGTGGAGGACGCTCTGCGGCATCGCTATCTCCTTCGAGCGGTCCGAGGAGGCGATCTGGCATAGGAAACTGCACTTGCCGAAGGAGCTGCCGCAGGTGGAGAGGCCCAGGGAGATGGCTGATCCGACGAGCAAGAGTTCACTGCGACGAGAAGAGGCACGACTTGCTCGGCGAGGCAGATTGACACCAGAACTGCGGGAGGCGTCCGACGTGACCCACCCTCCACCAGCACAGCCAGGTCCTCCAGAGGATGAGGTCAAGTACCGCGTCTCGACTGAGCTCTGGGCCCAGGCGAGCGAGTTTGTCGGTGAGCCGCTTGCGTTCGCTGCGCCAGAGGGAGAAGGAGGCAGTGGAGCTGCGATGGATATGGAGGGCAATGGAGATGCCCGCCACTCGTTGCGCGCCGCTCGCCCAGATGCGGCTCAGAGAGTGAATGACATGTACGCTCGTTGGGCCGCCCAAGTGGGGGTCGCCAGATTGAAAGCCCCCCAGATCGATGAGTCAGAATGGGCTCCGCTCCAGGGGCGGGCCCCGGATTTTTTTCTGGCTTGGCAGAAAGCTAAGGCCTCGCCAGGCCGTGCCCACCTGGTAGATGGCCTTGCCGAGTGGTGGGCGATCTCCACCACGCCTTTGAAAAGATCAGTTCCCCTACGGCTCTCTGGCAAAGGCAAGAGGCAGCCAGGGCAGCGCATGATGAAATTGCGCAGGCAATGCGAGCAACTCGACGGGCAGGACATGTCGGAGTTCGTAGGCAAAGACATGCAAGAGCTCGGCGTCACAGCGATTGCTTGCCTGTGTGACCTCAGCCAGCAGAGGGGGATGAAGGACCCCCCCTGCACTTGTTGAAGCGGCAGAGAGACTCGCAGCTTGCGCACACGCTCGCGGGATAGCCTCGCCACGCCGAGCATTGGAGAGTTGGGCGAAGGAGCAGTGAAAAAAGAGCCAGGCATGTTGTGCCGTCACGCGAAGCAAGATCCGCCTGAACCGCTGGAATCGCCTTTGCAAGGAAAGGTCGGTTCGGCCCTACGGCCAGCACGGCCGAGAAGCAGGCGATGTGGCAAGACAAATGGCTGGACCGTGTAGATATCCCTGGAGCCCTGCAAAAGGCCATCTCGGGAGCGCTCCGACGGGCTGGCGAGGGCCCCCTGGATCCCCTTGAGGCCTCCCACCTCTCCTCTCTCTGGTATCGGGTTCCCGCCATGAAAGCCCCAGGGATCGATGTGCTCCGAGTGGCCGATGCGCGGCGTCTGCCAGAGCAGGGGGTAGAAGAGCTGGCCGCCTTTTTAAATCTAGTCGAGCTGGAAGGAGCGTGGCCAGAACAGATCTTTGCCGCGATTAGCGCATTCCTGCCCAAGCCGAACCAGCAAGGCGACCGAACGATCGGCATGCTCTCGAATGTTGTCAAGATTTGGGGTCGAGCTCGATCGGTCCTGGTTGATGTTTGGAGCTCGGGGCTGGACCAGTTCTGGGATACAGCGGTAAAAGGCAGCTCGGCATTGCGCGCGGCGTTGCTGCGCTCTGCCCATAATTTCCCTTCTTCTCTGGGAAATCGACGATTAATTGTGTCTGTACATGTTTCCCCTCCCCCGCCCCGAAGATATACCGCGATTGGACAAGTCCCCCCCCCGCAAGCTTCACCGCTTGTCAGGCCCTCCACCTCGAACTCCGCGGCCTTGGCAACGCGTCGATCTTCACGACGGCCACGACCACTGCGTGAGGGAGTGGATTGCAAGGGAGTCTCAGGCGGGAGCCCCCTCCCTATGGGGCCCGCAGTTTATGCTAGTAACCCGAGTCCAACAACCTGTAAGTGTTGTCGCTCTTGGGCTCCTCAGGTTTGAGTCAGGAGGAAATCACGAGCGGGAGCCTCGTCTGTGAGTGAATTGCGAGGAAGCCTCAGGCGGGAACCAAGAGCGCAGCAGGCAGCGGCCGCGGACTGGCGGCGGCTGCGGGTTCCAGCGGCGCCGCCGTCGAAAAACGGCCCCTTATGCATCTCCCCGCCGGGTCCTTTTCGGGCGCGGTGCCTTGGTGGTGGTCGGGCGGGGCATGCCGAGGGTGAGGGGGAAGGGAGCGGAGGAGGAGGAGGAGGAGGGGGATGAGGAGGAGGAGGAGGAGGAAGAGAGGAGGAGGAGGAGGAGGAGGAAGGAGGAGGAGGAGGAGGAGGAGGAGGAGGAGGGGAGGAGGAGGAGGAGGAGGAGGAGGAGGGGAGGAGGAGAGGAGGAGGAGGAGGTGGAGGAGGAGGAGGAGGAGGAGGAGGAGGGAGAGAGAGGAGAGAGAGAGAGAGGAGGAGAGAGGAGGACAGAGGAGGACAGAGGACAGAGGACGAGGAGGAGGAGGAGGGAGGAGGAGGAGGAGGAGGGAGGAGGAGGAGGAGGGAGGGAGGGAGGGAGGGAGGGAGGGAGGGAGGGAGAAAGGGAGGGAGGGAGGGAGGGAGGGAAGGAGGGAGGGAACGAGGGAGGGCGGGTGGGAGGAGGAGAGAATGGCGCTTGGGGCAGGCGCGGCAGCTGGACCATGCACGTCCCGCCTCACCCCAGCCTGCTCTCACCTCCCCCTGTTCCTGTTTCCTTCCCCCTTGTGGGCCAGCGCACTGCAGCTGTGAAGAATGGTGCTTCGGCTGGTAATCGTGGTTCTTGTCATAGTCCACCTCCTCCCTTTCTTCGTCCCCTTTTTTGTCCTCCTCCTCATCTTCCTCCTCCCGCTGTTAGTGCCTTGTTTTCGCAACTATGTTTACCGCGCACGGTAGGTTGCAGATCACGAGTGCAAGTCATATGATTGTTTGTCGTAGTTCTGCTCCACTCGACTCGTCACCGCTCCGTCACCGCCTCCCAGTCATTCCAGTCTCGTTCTTTGTCCCACTCTCTTTGCCAGATCGCCGACCGTTGCTGGAAGCACGCAACCATTACCTTGGCGACGTACCCAACCCCTGCGCAATGCGGGGCAGGAGTAGTTTGGGATATTTGACGAGAACGTGGCGACGTGGCATCGGCGCATATACTTCTGCGAGCGGCATCCGGAAGAATCGCAGGTCCCCAATCAAGGGAAAAAAAAACGATGAGTAATTAATTGAACCCCTGAGTCACTAAGGAGGACGCAAGATCCAAAAGGAGACTGTGGGCAAGGGGCTTGGAACGTCGGCGGGGCAACAACAACATGACATGGCCGCCCAGGGACGGCGAGGCCCCGTTCAGGTCCGCACAGTGCCTCACTCCGCTGGACCCACCAGCAGCCTTCGAAAGTGGCGAGCCCACCAGCAGCCCTCGAAAGTGACGACAGATTCGCAGATCGCAGCCCCCCAGGGACGGCGAGGTCTACCTCAGGTCTGCGCGGTGCCTCACTCCGCTGGACCCACCAGCAGCCCTCGAAAGTGGCGACAGCCTCGCAGATCGCAGCCCACCCAGGGACGGCGAGATCTACCTCAGGTCCGCGCGGTGCCTCACTCCGCTGGACCCACCAGCAGCCCTCGAAAGGGGCGACAGATTCGCAGATCGCACCCCCCAGGGACGGCGAGGTCTACCTCAGGCCTGCGCGTTGCCCCACTCCGCTGGACCCACCATCAGCCCTCGAAAGTGGCGACAGGTTCGCAAATCGCAGCCCCCCCCCCAGGGACGGCGAGGTCTACCTCAGGTCTGCGCGGTGCCTAAATCCGCTGGACTCACCCACAGCCCTCGAAAGTGGCAACAGTCTCGAAGACCGCAGCCCCCCAGGGACACGGCGAGGTCCACCTCAGGTCTGCGCGGTGCCTCACTCCGCTGGACCCACCAGCAGCCCTCGAAAGTGACGACAGCTTCGCAGATCGCCGCCTCCCAGGGACGGCGAGGTCTACCTCAGGTCTGCGCGGTGCTTCGCCCGGCTGGACCCACCAGCAGCCCTCGAAAGTTTCGACAATTTCGCAGATCGCAGCTTTCCAGGGACGGCGAGGTCTACGTCAGGTCCGCGCGGTGCAGGTTTGCACGCTGCCTCACTCAGCTGGACCCACCAGCAGCCCTCGAAAGTGGCGACATCTTCGCAGATCGCAGCCCCGGCGAGGTCCACCTCAGGTCTGCGCGGTGCCCCACTTCGCTGGACCCACCAGCAGCCCTCGAAATTGACGACAGCTTCGCAGATCGCCGCCTCCCAGGGACGGCGAGGTCTACCTCAGGTCTGCGCGGTGCTTCGCCCGGCTGGACCCACCAGCAGCCCTCGAAAGTTTCGACAATTTCGCAGATCGCAGCTTTCCAGGGACGGCGAGGTCTACGTCAGGTCCGCGCGGTGCAGGTTTGCACGCTGCCTCACTCCGCTGGACCCATCAGCAGCCCTCGAAAGTGGCGACAACTTCGCAGATCGCAGCCCCCCAGGGACGGCAAGGTCTACCTCGGGTCTGCGCGGTGCCTCACTCCGCTGTACCCACCAGCAGCCTTCGAAAGCGGCGACAAGTTCGCAAGTCGCAGCCCCCCAGGGGCACGGCGAGGTCTACCCCAGGTCTGCGCGGTGCGTCACCCCGCTGGATCCACCAGCAGCCTTCGAAAGTGGCGACAGGTTCGCAGGTCGCAGCCCCCCAGGGACGGTGAGGTCTACCTCAGGTCCGCGCCTTGCCTCACTCCGCTGGACCCACCAGCAGCCTTCGAAAGTGGCGACAGGTTCGCAGATCGCAGCCCCCCCCCAGGGACGGCGAGGTCTACCTCAGGTCTGCGCGGTGCCTCACTCCGCTGGACCCACTAGCACCCCTCGAAAGTGGCGACAGATTCGCAGATCGCAGCCCCCCCCCCCAGGGACGGCGAGGTCTACCTCAGGTCCGCGCGGTGCCGCACCCCGCTGGACCCACTGGCATCCCTCGAAAGTGGCGATAATTTCGCAGATCGCAGCCCCCCACGGACAGCGAGGTCTACCTCAGGTCCGCGCGGTGCCTCACTCCGCTGGACCCACCAGCAGCCTTCGAAAGTGACGACAGCTTCGCAGATCGCCGCCTCCCAGGGACGGCGAGGTCTACCTCGGGTTCGCGCGGTGCCGCACCCCGCTGGACCCACCATCAGCCCTCGAAAGTGACGACAAGTTCGCAGATCGCAGCTCCCAAGGGACGGCGAGGTATACGTCAGGTCCGCGCGGTGCCTCACCCCGCTGGGCCCACCAGCAGCCCTCGAAAGTGGCGACAGGTTCGCAGATCGCAGCCCCCCAGGGACGGTGAGGTCTACCTCAGGTCCGCGCGGTGCTTCACTCCGCTGGACACACCAGCAGCCCTCGAAAGTGGCGACAGGTTCGCAGATCGCAGCACCCCAGGGACGGTGAGACCTACCTCAGGTCCGCGTGGACCCACCATCAGCCCTGGAACGTGGCGACAGGTTCGCAGATCGCAGCACCCCAGGGGCGGCGAGGTCCACCTCAGGCCCGCGGGGTGCCTCACTCCGCTGGACACACCAGCAGCCCTCGAAAGTGGCGACAATTTCGCAGATCGCAGCCCCCCAGGGACGGCGAGGTCTACCTCGGGTCCGCGCGGTGCCGCACCCCGGTGGACCCACCAGCAGCCCTCGAAAGTGGCGAAAGGTTCGCAGATCGCAACCCCCAAGGGACGGCGAGGTCTACCTCAGGTCCGCGCGGTGCCTCACCCCTCTGGACCCACCAGCAGCCCTCGAAAGTGGCGACAGGTTCGCAGATCGCAGCCCCGCAGGGACGGTGAGGCCTACCTCAGGTCCGCGCGGTGCTTCACTCCGCTGGACACACCAGCAACCCTCGAAAGTGGCGACAGTTTCGCAGATCGCAGCCCTCCAGGCAAGGCAAGAGGAGACAAGAAGGAGAGGGGGTGGGAGGCGAGAGGCGGGAGGCGGGAGGCGGGAGGAGGAAGACGCGACCGCAGTGCTCTATTGAAAACGAATACCCGACCCAGGAGGGTAGGGGAAAAAAATGCCCTTGTTTGGCATGCATGCGACTGTGCTGCGTACATTGGAGGAGACGGTGATTGATGAGCAGGAGGACGAGCAGGAGGAGAAGGACGAAGGGAGGGGGAGGAAGAGGAGGAACAACAGCAGGAGCAGGCTTGGGAGAAAGGAGGAGCTGGATACCAGGGGAAGGCGGGGGGGAGGGGGAAAAGGAGCGGGGCGACAACGATGAGGAAGCACTCAGATCCAGAAAAATGGCATGCGCTGGGGCGAGAGCGCCATTCCGAACGATAGGAAATAAGCGCGTATCTGAAATGAGGCAGACACAATTTTGAGACACCGAATACGCTCTGATTGAAGAACACATTACAAATATCAATGTTCGAAAATATGATGAGTGTGAGAAAAGTGTACGCGGATGGTGCGTTGGCCATGCCGCAGCCATCTCTGGGGGAGAAGCCGGAAAGTCACCTTAAGGATGGATGAAGGGGAGGAGAAGGAGGAGGAGGAGGAGGAGGAGGAGGAGGAGAAGGAGGAGGAAGAGGAGGAGGAGGAGGAGGAGGAGGAGAAGGACGAGGACGAGGACGAGGACGAGGAGGAGGAGGAGCAGGACGACGACGACGGCAACGACGACGACGACGAAGACGATGATGACGACGACGATGATGACGACGACGACGACGAAGACGACGACGACCGTGACGGCGACGACGACGACGACGACGACGACGACGACGACCACGACGACGACGACGACGACCACGACGACGACGACGACGACGACGACGACGACGACGACGACGACGACGACGGCGACGACGACGACGACAACGAGAAGGAGAAGGAGGAGGACGAGGACGAAGACGAGGACGAGGATGAGGACGAGGACGAGGACGAGGACGAGGACGAGGACGAGGACGGGGAGGGAGCAGAAGTTCGACGACGGCGGCGAGAGCGACGGCAGGCGTCGGCGGCCGCCCGCCCAGGAGGCGCCGGCGGAGCGCAGCCCGCCCACGGGGCCGGTGCCGCAGTGACGGGGGCCGCCGCCCGAGAGGTGCGCGGCTGGTGGGCCGCCCCAGGGGCTCCCTCCCGACTTCTTGCCTGGACCCGTCCTGCTCCTCCTCCTCCTCCTCCTCCTCCTCCTCCTCCTCCTCCTCCTCCTCCTCCTCCTCCTCCTCCTGCGTTTCTGCGTTTCTCGCTATGCAGCGTCTTGTCGCGCGCTCCGCGGGCGCGGAGCGCTCTGCAGCGGCCCACCAGGGCCGTGCGGGCGCTCAGACTGCGGCCCCGGGAACCCGGCCCCGAGGGAAACAGGGAGCCTGGGACCAGTAAATCAAAGAGAAGGGAGAGAGGGGCCGGGTTTCAGTAAAGCAAAAAGGTGAGGGCCCATATGGGCCCTCGGCAGGCGCCGCGCGCGCCCGTGCCAGCTCAGCCAGCTCGGCCCGCAGCCAGGCCTCGGCCTCTTTGTGGGCGGTCGGCCTGTTGTGTGGCGGCTGGGCTCCCTTCGGCGCCTCGCGCTGAGCCCAGCCGCCAGGTCATCAGGTGGCTGGCCGCCTTCTCTGCGGCGGCCTCCACCCTACGGCGCTCAGCGCTGTGGAGGTCCGCCGAGCCTCTGACTTCAGCGGCTCTGCAGCGCTGTCCTAGCCTCGGCCTCTTTGTGGGCTGTCGGCCTCTTGTGCGGCGGCTGGGCTCCCTTCGGCGCCTCGCGCTGAGCCCAGCCGCCAGGTCATCAGGTGGATGGCTTCCTTCTCTGCGGCGGCCTCCACCCTTCGGCGCTCAGCGCTGTGGAGTCCGCCGAGCCTCTGACTTCAGCGGCTCTGCAGCACTCTCCTCGCCTAGCGGTCGGTCTCATGTACGGCGGCTGGGCTCCCTTCGGCGCCTCGCGCTGAGCCCAGCCGCCAGGTCGTCAGGTGGATGGCCGCCTTCTCTGCGGCGGCCTCCACCCTTCGGCGCTCAGCGCTGTGGAGGCCCGCCGAGCCTCTGGATTCAGCGGCTCTGCAGCACTCTCCTCGCCTGCCACGCGAGGGCCGTCGGTCATGACCCCCTGCTTTTGAGCTGCAGGAGGGTACTGATCTCGGATGTTGTAGATGTCGTTGTATGGGGCTGCGTGCAGATGTGGAGCGAGTTGGCGAGGTCGTTGGGGATCGGGCTGTTGCTGGTGTTGTGTTGGTGGTGGGCTCCCAAGGCCTCCATGCACCGACTTCAAGTGGGGGTCGTTACTGTCCCACCTCGTCCCGCTATGGCTAGGGGTCACGGTGCCCTCGGTGGGGGCGAACCCCAGGCCTGGTACTTGTCGTCGGAGTGGTGAGTCTCGGCTGTCCAGCTTCGCCCTCGGGCGATCGGGTAGCTCCTCCTTCTCCATGGGAATGGTGGGGGTGGCGAGCTAGGGCGGACCGCGGGGGCGCGGGTAGTGGCCGTCCTACCCCCCCCCTGCCCCTCACCATCCCCGCTGGCGGGCGCGGGAAGTACTCGTCCTTCCCCCCCAGCCCTTCGAGCCCGTCTCGAAGTTTGATCCTCACCAGGACAGCGTTGACTTGAAAGGAGTTGTAGGGGGTCGTGTTGGGTATGCTGTCGATGTCGGTCGGTGATACGCTGACGGCCAATGGGCCGCCCGCTGCCAGCCAGCTGGCGCCATCCATACTGTAGATCTCCAGGAGCCGCCGCGGTACACATCAAAACGTGGCGACTTGTGCCTGGGGTGTTCCCTCGCATTCGGGGCTTCCCCAGGTCTTGCGTTCTAACGATAACCAAGGTTGGCGCCGCTGCCTGAGGTCTTCCCACGCATTCGGGGTTTCCTCAGGACTTAAGCAGCACACCGTAATGCCTGCCCAGGGCCAAATAATCATAGTAAACAATGCCAATGTTAAGAAAGTCGATAAATCCAGCAGGCGCTCGAGGGGGGGGCACGCTCCGTCGCCATTGAGGGATCGTGCCCACCCGTATGGGCGCTACGGGTCCCCCCCCCTCGAGATGGCACGCAATCGTTGTCCAGGTCGCATCCGTACCAGTAACCCGTTAGCAACAGGGTTTGGGCCATGCCGTAGGTGCGCTGAGACTTCTGGAACCAATCTGAAATACTCTGTATAAAATATTGTAATGCCAGCTGCCATCAGATCTGTAGCAAGCCGGTGGTCTGCGCTAAATTGCAGACCAGTGTTCCCTTACGGGGCAAAAGTATATAATACTGGACGCTTGACTCGCCTAACTGCACCAAATAAGCCGCCGCGGTGCCAATTGCTAGCGCCGATGGTTGCCCCATGCCCTGTGGCAATCATGGCCGATCTGGTCTGTCTCCATGTAGTAATCCAAGGGGGCGTAGAACCTGTGGTAGCAGTCGTCCGTTTCGGCCCACATTGCCTCTGCGTCAGCAAGCTGCCCCCAGTGGGTTGCGAAGGCGGTAGCCATTGCCTTGCACAACCTTGGTGGATACTCTTTGAGGGGGGCGGTCCTCCAGCCGCCTTGGCCGTCTCGTCCGTAAACTCCAGCATGTCCCGCATGTCGGCATAGCTGTCCCCCAGGTACCGCCCTTAGCTCCTGTGCGAGTTCACCGAGGTGTGCCGCCATCAGACATGTTGGTTTTCTCGCGTCCTGCCCGAACTGGCACTGGTCTATGTAGTGAAGTTCGACGCCCGTCTGCTCCAGGAGCCAGAGCGTCTCTGCTCGCTGCCAGCTGCTGGGCGCTTGGGGGCACCATGTGGCTGGGGCGGGATGCTCGAGTACGGCTGAGACGTTGTACTGCAGGCCCGTGGTGATGAGTAGTAAAGCTGTCCTGTATAGCTCGTTGGCTAGTGCGATCTGTTGATGCTCCGCTTGGCTAGCTGCTTGTATGCCCCAGGGGGCTTCATGTGTACGTAGTGGTCGAGGTGCCTTCCCCTCGGCGGCATGCCAGCGCGATGAGCACCACGTCTCGCAGGGCGGGCCCGCCACAATACCAAATATTTTGCTCTGTCGTATCGCTGCGCACCAAAAGTCGACTACGTCTGGCTTCGTCAGGTCTCCTTTGACGGGGTCTATCTGCACGTCGATCGATAGTACTACCAAGTTGCATTCCCGAATGTTCATCCTCCTCCTCCTCCTCCTCCTGCGCACGTCGCCTCATGGGCTCGCGCCTCCTCCTCTTTCCCCTCCTCCTGCATCCTCCTCGTCTATCCTTTCTTCGTCCCCGCTTCAGCCAGGAGCAGGACGGGTCCAGGTCACGGGGGCTCGGGAGGTCGGGTGGTGCCAAAAGTGCCTCGTGCCCGAGGTGCCCCCGGGGTTTTCGGGGTGGCCCAGACGGCCTTTCGAGCACCCCTCACGAGGCCCTGGGGGCCCAGGGGCTCCAAAATGGAGCGAGAAACTGGGGGCACCCTGGGCCAGGGGCACCCTTAGCAAGCCCCGAGGAGGGGCCAGCAGAAAGCAAGGAGGCTGTTTTGTTTTCGTTTCTGTCGACTCAGGCAAGTCCTGTTCAAGAGGCTTGCGCCATCCCGCCGACCCCCAGGAGAGGCGGGAGATCCCACGGTTGAGGCGTCGTGGGCTTCTTGGGCATGGTTTGGGGACTCTTTGTGGGCGTGGTCAGCAGACAGCATGGAGACTGCTGTTTTTCAGATTCCGGCAAGTTTTATGGCATGGCGTTTCCACCACCCACCACCACCACCACCACCACTCCGCCGTTTGTTGCACCGGCACTGGGCCGAGAAGGCGCGCAGGGGAGTCCCCATTCGCGTGAAGTCCAGATTTCCTTTCGGGCCTCGCCGCGCCCCCCCTGTCCCCTTCCGCGCAAGTTTAAAATAAAGCTGCAAGAGTCTGAAGAGAAACTGCCTCAAAAGCAAGTTGGGGGGCGGAGCCGGCTGGGCCTTGAGGTGGTCCAGCACTGGCTCCGGCCAGCAGAAGGAGCGGACAGGTTCGAGGTCCTGGGCTCGGGAAGGTGGACCCCGCCGAGAGGTGCGTCTGGGGGCCAGTTTTGAGAGCATTTGGCTTCATCCTGGTTCCTTGCCGATTTTCTGGCGTGCCCCGACCGCCTCCGATGTGGTGGCGTCCACGGGGCGTGTTCATCGTCGGCGGGAGGGTGGGGGGGGGCAGTCGGCCACGCGCAGGAGGGGCCCTCTGCCTCATCGGCCCGGGTGCGAGGCCTCCCCCGGCGGCTCCAGGAAGCCGCGCACCAGAGGTCGCTCTGGCTCAGGGCCATTCTGACGTGCAACCCGAGGGGAGGAGGCCTTCGTTTGTGCACGGAGGTGTCGCTCGCCTCTTGGTGCTTACCAGCAGCTGCGCCTCGTCGGGGGCGCTCCGGGGGTGCTCAGATCGTCCCGAACGGCCGCCAGAGGCCCGAGCCACGGTCCGAAGACCACCCAGCATCGAGGGGTGTCAGGATTACAGAGGGGGCGTCAGCTAAGGAATACTCCCAGGAGGCTTCAGACCCTGGAGGGTTTCTTGTCCAAGAAGGGCGGCGGTGATACCCATGGCCGATCCGCGATTGGAGTTCCACTGGCAAACCCTAGATTCCTAACCTAAAGGCTCCTTATCTAATACGTAGTAGGCATTATCCAAGAGATTCCTAATCTAAGAGATTTCTAATCTAACACCATACGTAGATGGCATAAGCACGGATCCTGAAGCGAACGGGTCCTGGACCCCGTGCGTTTTTTTCCCAGGACCAGTCCTTCCTCCTGAAGAGTTTCTGTTGACGGTCCAGGGGCCGGGGAAGGGCCCCGAGAGCCCGCAGACGGCGAATGACCTCGGGGCCCAGTGCCCTCAGGGCCCGATGGCATCGTGGCGAACGAAGGAGGGGTGATCGGACGGGGCTGGGACGAGGACCAACCCGGCTCCGTCTTCGGGTGATGGGCTGGCCAGGACCACGGAAGTTCCCAGACGCCACGGCCTGTCTTCCTTCAGTACGTCCACGGGCACGCACACACACACACACACACCCACCCACCCACCCACCCACCCACCCACACCCACCCACACCCACCCACACCCACCACACCCCCACACCCACCACACCCACACACACCCATACACACGCACGCACGCACGCACGCACGCACGCACGCACGCACGCATGCACACACACACACAACACACACACACACACACACACACACACACACACCACACACACCACACACACACACACACACACACCACACACACACACCACACACA